CCCCGTCCGCGGATTATGTTGAGCTTCCGATGGTCGCGTCGTGCTTTCGACGACGACAAAACCGACGAGGCCGACGACATACATTGTTGACGAGGCGATGCCATGTGTGATACTGCAGAAATCGAAATTGCGGCGTGGCAGCGGCGTGTTTTCTCGTGGTGCCCGACTGAAAACAGCATACTCGACGCCCAATTTTGGATGCAATGTTTTTGTTTTTGGCGACAGCGGGAGACGATTGAACGGCTCAATCCCACCCTCTGGCAAAGGAAATGAAATGAGTGATCATGGACACGGCCAGGGACGAGGGCACAGATGTCGGTCGATCCATGAAAATAGGCCGTGTGGTTGCAAAAGATGCAATGATGTGTTGTATGTGCCGCAGCAGCTGAAAGCAAAAGCATCAAAGTCGGACGAGGCATCGTAGCAGAGCATAGATGTCGACCAGGTGCCGGCAGGAACTGAACCTAAGGCTGAGAGGCACAGCGATAGCGTTAGGATTTAGCTGGCGTACATCCGGGAAAACGTGCGTTATCCGCGGCACGCAGCCTGACGAACGGCAGGCAATAGTGCGGCGCAGGCGGGCGGGATGGGTATTGAATCGTGTATGTACATCGGCTCGGTGGACGGCGAGGAGGAGATTGGCGATGATGGCAGGCCGAGGAGCGTGTTTGTCATTGTCTGCGGGCGGTTGGGCGGGCTGGAGCGCGAAAAAGCAACAAGACCCCGGCTGAGAGTTTGCTCGAGGGTGCATTGGAGAGGCACAGTAGCCGTGCGGATGATGTGGAGGTTGGCTTGGGGGCTGTTGGTCGCAACCGCCAAGAGACAACCGTTATTGACGGCATCCTGCCCAAGGTGAGATGCTCGCGGGGCCGGGAGAACAGGAGCCAAAAGCTCCGAGATGGAAGTCGAGCTAATTCCAAAATTAGCCCAACTATCGATGTGAGGAGGATCATGAGATGCGGGCTAAACTGACCGCCAAGCGGGTTAAGTCACGCAGAAGGGGGGTAAAACAAAAATAGGTTGCTGTTAGTCGTCATGCGTGAATCTGCGGGTGACGACAAACATCTACAGCGGCTAGACGGTGTGACGTGAAAGTTGATGGCATGCTGCTACACTAGATGCTCAAATTAGCCCCGGATGTCAGTCCGGAAGAGGGTTAATTTGACCACTTACCAAAAGCTGGGCGGCTAATTAGGCCGCCAGAAATAGGTCCATCACGTAAGCTGTGCTGCCAACTGGTGCATGCGAACCGTCAGATGAACGGCGAGGAGGAGGAGGGATGGTATGATGACGACCTAGGGTGTTCCGTGTCCGTCCGCCGTTCATGGGCAGCTGCCCATTATCGGCGGGAGATCATCGGCGGACCTTGCCCGACGAGTCTTGCGTGCAGACAGAAACCTGCCTTGTTGAGAGAGAGGAGAAGAGTATTAGGAGGATGTGATTGGCCGAAATACTCACTCTCAGAGCAGGTACGGGCAGATTGGGCTGTTGAACATAGGTCTGAGGGACGTGCCCGTGGCTGCAGCGCTCTTCCCTCTAGCGGGCGGACAATGTGGGGCGGGCATGCAAACCCCGCAAGCAGAGCCCCTGTCAGTTGCTGCGCTCCCGCCTTCAAGTGGCCACAGCTCCTCTCCGCCTGTGGAGCTAGCGAGGGACCCTTGGTCAATAATCATGCACGATTCTTCTGGCTGCAGGACCCAGCAGCCAATCCGGGGCCGTTGCGGCGCTCTGGCAAGAGCTTAAATCCCTGCCGCATCACAGGCGCTAATAAACGGTTGGTCCCGAAGCCCTGCACGAGACTTCAACTCGTCACACCTCTCGTCGAATCAACGTGGCAGAAGGTCTTTTTGACAAAGAGCCCTCGACTGGCGAACAATGACGCTAGAGACGTACGAGACGACTGCGAAGCACGCAACCACTCGTTGGAAAAGAAAGCAGAGAAAACTGGGGAGAGACAAGCATCTGCCCCTGTCATCGTCGCCGTTGTTGTAACCCAGGCTCTGAAAATCCTTCCGCCTTCGACGGGCCCTCGGATCGCACAGCTTGCACGCCATTGCCATTGTCCTTGTTCTGACCTGACGGACGACGGGACGCTTGCCTCCACGATGGGAGAGGTATTTTCTCTCTTTCTCCATTCCCGCCAACCCTGAACGCTCACCATGCACGACAGAAGGTCCTGGTTCCACCGTCTTGAGCAACTCCGGCAGCCACATTCAACCGACGGCGACTGGCCGGGTGCACCAGCCAATCCGGCACTTGACCGCCATTCTGGTCATTCTGATTTGTGGATTCTCTTTGCAGCAACTCTGCATCGTCAGTCCAGTTCAGCAAGCCCTCGACGACGACGACGACGACTGAGGTCTGGCTCTGACCTCGCTAAGAGCTCTGCTGAAGATCTAGGACTGGAACAAAGGCAAAGGACAAAGGGCTGACGAGGAAATCGCAACCGCAACATACTGCCAAGATTGAAGATCTTGCCCAGAACCTTTGCAGGCTAATTGCCAAATTTGAAGATGCTGAGTGGGAGCCCAACGGGCAAGTCAGGTCCCGCACATCGTTATCCATCATGCAAGCGTGGAGCGAGGCTTCTCATGGGATGATCGGATGAATCCACCTCGTCTGCCAGAGACAGGGCTATCGCAAGAACAAGGTTGGTAGGGCCGGCGAAGTTGGGCCTCTTTCCCTTGTACTTTTCATCGCCTTCTCGCCGACGCTGAAAACTCCGGCCTTTCAAAATTGAGTTGAGCTCCACATGCTTTGAAGGCTCTGTTGGTGGTTGGCGAGCTCCATGCAAGTGCGTACTACCTCAAGACGGAGCTTGTTCGCAGAAGAGGGCTCGACGGTGCAGTAGACGGACCTTGTCTGCAAGGATGAGCCCAGCCAGCCATTGTGCCGTCTCTCCATATGTCGGCCCCCGAATTTCTCGCCCGCATCGTGTCATGACAGGCCAAGTTTGCGGCCAAGAGGGTCACACATCGATGGCATCGGAATGCAGAAATCGGGAACACGGGGAGACAACGGGCAAGACACGCCAGCTCTGTGTTCTTGCAGCTCCGGCAGCGCAGGACCATGCCGCGGAATGAGCTTGCATCTGTCCGGGCCACAACACTTGGGCATCGCCAGTAACACACTCATGCTGATATTGGAGATCAGCACCAGGGACGGCGAGCGGACAGCACCCGGGCGAGGTATTGGACGCGGTATCGACGGCGGACAGCCGGGAGGCAGATGGCCAGATGAGTGCTTACAAAGTTGGCAAGTCGGGTTGAGCAAACAGCAAACCCCCCATGTATGGTTCTGCATGTCTCTGCATCGCGTGTGGACCGTGTGGTTGAAGGCATACCGGGGCCCAGATGGGAGACCGTCTACCATACAGAGGTCAGCTTTGGCAAGCCACCGTATGCAGGCGTCGACCGTCTTGCCCGTTTAGTCCCTCGACAGTTACCTTGACCCATGTCGGGCCTTTGGAAGCTCCTCTCCCCCCTCTTCTCTGATGTCTCTCCATTCCTATTCCTATTCTATTCTCGGGTGGGGTCCAAGTCCAACGATGGCCCCCCCAACCCCGAGTGCGACCATGTTTGGCGGCCCATTCTCATTGGCACCTGTAAGCGCAGGCCCAAGTCTTACGCACTCGAGTGAGTGCGGCCGGCCGGCCTGCCTTGTGTCTATGTTGGCCCGGCTGCACGAAGGCACACACAAGAGCACATTTGGGAAGGGCTCGATGGAGGTGTGTCCAAATTTAGAACAAGACTACTGGCAGGCTACGTAGCCAACAGCAGATGGTGCCTCTGAGATGCGGTCACAGGCGAGTTGGCCAACGAAGAAGAAGATGGCCATGATGAAGGCGGCCACAATATAAGACTTTGGGCCATCCATCACCAGCGGCTATCTTTTGGCTTCTCTTCTTGTTGTGTTGTAGAAGTCAGGAAGAAGGAAAGCGATCCAAGTGTTGTCCGAGGTTTTTCTCTCTCTTTTTTCATATCGTGTTTTTATCTCCCTCCACCCTCCGAACCCCAACCACTCGAGTTCATCGATAATATCCAGTTGAAAGGCAAGCCGGCCTTGCTTGAAAACCAGTCATTCATTCGACACAAAACACTGCATATACTGCACCCATCAAAATCACACACGCATTTGCAATTATTGCAAACCCCGCCGCAGACGAGACTGATTTCAGTTGACGAAGCGAACAAGATCGACAAGGAAGCAAAGGAATAATTTAATAATCTGATACGACTGAGAATTGGGTTTGGACGACAGCAACGAGCAGCCAGCCAGCCTTCCGACAAACAACCCGGTCTCCCATCTCAAATTGCGTTGACAGCGGAACCAGCGAACAGACATTTCTCTGATCCGACCATCACACACACACACACACACACACACACATCACATCGTCTGCGATTGCCCTACCGAGCTGCCCTACCCTGCCAGGCCCTGGACTCGAATCGACCCGACTCGACTCCTCATCTCTCGCTGTCTTCATTTTCCGAAAGGACGTCCCGCTTTTCCTGCGTGGGTGCCAAGGAGAATACCTCAGAGAACCGGCCGCTCACTCGTCAAATTCTCTCGACCGCACGGCAAATCAGAAGAGCGGCATCCAAGGCACGCACCTGATTGCTCTCATACCCTGGTTGCACCCCTGGCCGCCTTTCCCCAGTCCAGAGCACAGTGCCATTCCGCGCAGTCATCGTACAGTGCAACGGTTCCTGCCACACCCCCCTCCTCGCTGCATCCTTGTCCCTGATCACCCCGGTCTAGGACGGTCCACTGCACATCACTCACCTCACACCCCCCCCCCCCCCCCCCACCCCCGACCCTCGTCCGCTTCCCTCCCCTCCCACGCACCACCCCAGCCCAGCCTACAGCTTAGACGAAGCTGCTCGGCTTGCCATTCAACGCAGGTACCTCCATCGCGAGCCACAAGAAGGGTACAAATGTCAACACTACCCCCCAACCACAGTCGTAGCGACTTCATGAAATCAACAGCTGCAGTCAACATGGCCGTCGCATCTTCTGCGAAGGCCAAGTCGGCCTGCAAATCCAGCAATGCCAACAGCGCCAACCCCAAGGCAAAGACACAGATGCACCGCCGTTCCAGGACAGGTACGTTTATGTCTCTTGTATCGTCCTTTCTCATCTTTGCCGTTATCGCACAGCTTGAGCTCTCTCTCACTCTCAACCTTGCTCTCTCGGCTTACACCCGAGTTTGCCACTTACACCTGCTCCGAGCCGCAACGCAACAACCGCCAATTTTCACCCATTGAAGCTTCCAGACTAATTTGTTTCTCCCACAGGATGCTACACCTGCAGATTACGCCGCAAGAAGTGCGACGAGGGCTCGCCAATGTGCTCCGCTTGCAAACACCTTGGTTTGACATGCGAATACAAGCGCCCAATGTGGTGGAGCAACAACGATGCCCGCCGTAAGCACAAGGACGACATCAAGATGATCATCAAGCGCAAGAAGCTCTCGGAAAAGGCGTCGCACACCATCCAGACTTCCGTCGGCTCTCCTCCCGGCCTGTCGCACTCCTTGCCTACCTCTGCCACCTTCTCAGACCCTCTTGACCGCACCCGCTCCGCCTCCATCGACTCGCACTTTTCCACGGCTTTCAACTTCAACAGCCCGCCCACTGCCGAGTATGCTGCCTACAACCCCCAGATGCACCCTGACTTTATGTTCGGCGCCTTCCCTTCGCCGTACGAGATCGATGTCAAGACGGAACGCCAAGTTTACATGAACGATGTGCCCACTCTGAGAGAGTCGCATGTTTCAACCTTCAGCACCTACCAGACTCCCCCGCCCGCCGGCACCATCTTGCCTTCCTCGGTTCCTCTTGAGGGCGAGTGGACTGAGCAGGTCTACTCCGAGCGCAAGGAGTCCCTGAGCGAGGAGGCTCTCAACGTCAACTTCTTCGACTTCTCCCATGGCCCCGCCATGTCCAACCGCCAAGTCGCAGTCGAGCTTGACGAGAACGACCAGCGCTTGTTGGACCACTTCATCCAATTCGTTCTGCCCACCGTCTTCCCAATCCTCGAGTCCAACCAGCACGGCTCCGTAGGCTCTGACCTGATCCTCCCCGCTCTGCAGAGCAACAAGGGTTACCTGCACTGCTGCCTCAGCATCGCCGCCCAGCACTACAAGGCAACCATGAACGTCCCCGGCGAGGAGATTGACCAGGACATCATGAGACACCGCTATGCCACAATTTCCTCCTTGTGCGATGCTCTCAACAAGGACGAGAACCACCAAGAGATTCTCGAGGCCGCCTTGGGTCTCATCTTCTTCCAGTGTGTTGTCGGTCGCTATGATGACTCTCTGCCCGACATCCCGTGGCACCAGCACTTCCAGGCGGCCATCAGTCTCGTCCAGAAGCTTGATCTTCCCCGCGTGGTGTCAGATCCCAACGAGCCCGTCTCTCAGACTCCCTTCAACATGACCCTGACCTCTTGGATTGACATCCTTGGCGCCACGATGCAAGGACAGGCACCTACCTTCGCCCACACCTACCGCGAGAAGCACTTGTCAACCATACCCAGCCTGGGCCTCCGCGAGCTCATGGGCTGCGAGGACCGTGTCATGTACCTCATCTCTGAGATTGCCTGCCTCGAGAATCTCAAGGGCAGCGGCATGGACGACATCACTCTCTGCCAGCATGTCCACGCCCTCGGTGAGCAGATCAACTTGACCGAGATGGGCGAGCCTAGCCCCAAGATGCCTTACAACACCAACGGTAGCCTCTCTCCCAAGCAGCTCTCCAAGAACATCACGGCTGCCTTCCGCATCGCTGCGCGCATCTACCTCTGCAGCTTGGTCCCCGGCTTCAACCCGGCCCAGCCCTCTTGCGTTGGCCTTGTTGAGAAGCTCGCGAACGTCCTCCAGCTTATTCCCTCTGGACCTGGAGGCTTCGACCGCAGTCTCGTCTGGGTCTACCTCATTGGTGGTTCCGTCAGCTTGCCTGACAGCTCCTTCCGCGCCCTCTTCGATGACCGCGTCTCTCAGCTTGGCGACGTTTCCGACTACGGCTCTTTTGGTCGTCTCGCCTCGCTCCTCAACGAAGTCTGGACGCAGACTGGTAGCATCAAGTGCAGCGGTAGCCCCGCTGCCAGCCCCGGCTCCTCGCATGGGTCGGAGACGGTACCATACATCCACTGGCGGGATGTCATGCAGATGAAGGGCTGGGACTTTTTGCTGATGTAAACGGCCTGGCTGGTCCCGGGCTGTGCACATCAGTAGAGAGGCCTTCCCCTCTCCGCGTGGTATGTGTATCGCCTCCGCAAAGGTGATGCGGGCAATCGCCAACTTCCCTTCGCGTGAACCGGGGCTGCTGCAAGCCAGTCTTGCTCTGCTGGACATTCAACCATTTTTCTTTTATTTGCATTTCATTGTTTTGATACCACATTTTTCTGATTTACACCAACCTGATCCCAGGTTGCTTCAGGGTTACTAGAAGGACACCGCCGCAAGGCGAACGGAGCGGACATGAACTACGAGAGAGCAAAGACACTTGGACCACACTTTCTTCTTCTTTTTGGACAACTTTATCTCTGAGAGGGTTCACACACGGGGCAGCTAGGCCTGGCTGCCAGGATGACCGATGACGATGGATGACAGACAGGACGGGTAACAGCTGGGATGAGGCCCTGACATGCGCTTGGAGATACGAGATGCGATGAACGATACATTTTCCCTTTTCATCAGACCGGACAATCTTTTAGGGTTCCGCCTGATCTCATCTTCGTTTTTTCCCCTCTCTACATTATACCTCAGCATGAGCCAAGGAATCGGGGCGCCTTCATTCGGAGTTTTAGGGTTTTTTGGGACATTCGGGAAACAAGCATTTCGGTGCATCTGGACTGGATCGGATGGAAACGAAAGAAGGGCTCTGGGAGCTGTGATGGGCTAGCTTCCCTGTTGACTTCTTACACACGGGGTGGGCTCGATCGACCGCATTCACTCTTTAGAGTCATCGGGGCGAATCGAGCAGGAATTGGGATTCATGTAATACCAAATATACCCAACAATTTCAAAAGTGATTACCTTCAGGGTTTTCTCTCGGTATGATTCGTGTCTTTTTGCACAGGTCTGTGAATGATTCGCAAGCACTCGACAGCAGCAAATTCACTGGTGTCCATCGTTCGAGTGTCTGGGCCAGTCTGCGTCAAGGGGGGGGGGGGGGGGGGAGGGGTGTCGGACTACGACCGCACTGCTGATTGGTGTGGCGGATCAACCACCACCTTCCCTTTGGAAGCACTTGAGCCGAAGCTTACCTACGACTTACAGAGATGGAGGGGGTGGGGATGGTCAGCACCATGGGACGATTCCAAGCCAAACCAAAAAGAAAGTCTTCATCTTTGGTGAGAGGTTTATTTGGGGACGTGGATTCGGTCTGTCTACTTGACGGGAATATCGGGAACACATCCCATCACGGGTTGAGGAGGGACACTGGCATTGTGTGCGCGCCCATGCAGGCGTCCGTCCGATGGAAGGCGACTGGCTCCGACTTGTTTGGCACGAGTAAGCACGAAAAAAGGTTCGCAGAATTGTAACTTCGTGTTTCCCCCAGGTCTTTCTTCACCTCTTGAGCCAGCTGTAAATCGTCATTGGTCATTCTTTCCTACCGCGAGGAGAATATCTAGATCGACTGAGACATTTGAACGATGCGTGAGCACTTTACGCGCCCGCGCTCCAGTCTCCCTTGGAAACCCTTCCTTTCCACCCCAGCCCCACCCGCCACTTTCACAGACGACGAGACGGTGCAGTCCTCGTGCTTGCGATGCCGGAGGTGGGGTTGTGCGTGAGGTAGTACGTATGTAGCACTCACTCACCTAGGTCAGTGTCGGTTCCGGCCGGTAGGTAGCGGTGAGGGATGGCAGGGGCCTCGGTGAGATATTGTCCGGGGTCTTGCCCGTCGTCGTTGTCCACCTGACGTTATTCATTGTTCCGTGTTGTTTCTTAGCCGACGCCGACGGTTTGCACGGATGAGGAAACCCGTCCAGGGTGTAAGTGGCAGGGTTTATGGAGAGAGGCCGAGGCGTTTTTCTCTCACTCACGTTTCGCGACGCAGAGAGAGTGAAAAAGAGATCCCATGCTGCCCGCCATCGACGTCAGGGCTCTTGGGTCAATGACAATTTGTGACGGGTGATAGGACGGTGGTTGACGAGGATGGGAATGGGAATGGGGAAAACGGGAGGTGTTTTGCGCCTCTCGTGCGGTCTGGAGGTTCCATAGAGGAGGTCACATGGTTCAATTCTTTCTTAGTCTCTTGGGGTGTGTGTAGATTGGGGAAAAAGGCATCACAGTATTGGAATAACTGTGAGGAAGATACACCGAGAGTGTGTCTTGTTCTTGATCTTCACCTGCAAATTCCAATGCTTGAATTTACAATACACCCCTCTGTTGGTATTTTCTGTGTGGGCATATCTGAACAGACGAGAGACAGGGCAGGGGTGTGTGGTCTAGCATTTTGGGTTCGTTGTCTTGGATGACGGAAGAACGAGGGACGGGAGAGCCCACTTCCAACCCCACGGTTCAAGAAAAGGCAGGGGACGTGGATGATGGATGATGGCAGGGCGGGAAGGAAAACGAAAAGCGACACAGGGAGTCGAAAAAAATACGTTCACCGCCGTTTTCGAGTCACAGCGCGCGGGAGTGTGAATCATCGTGAATTGGCAAAGATGGAGTCTTGGGCTGGCAATTCGTCTCCGTTGCCGGGCATCCTCCGTCGTTCGGCCTCTTTGGGGCTGGGAAAATGGGTTGATAGGCAGTGGAAAGGGTTTAGGGGACGAGCGAAAAGGCAGGAAAACAGGGAAAACGGCAGAGCAGGCCCAGGGCCAGGGGGTAGGGTAGGTAGGTCACGCCTTTCATGGGTACCCACGTGATGGGCCGAACTGCGGCTGCTATTTGTCTTTTGCCATATTGGCGGTATGGTATGGTTCTTCTCCCTTTGCCGAGTTTATGACTATCAAAGTTGCACCCATTCCTCGAGATTTGAGAGGTTGTCTCTGGGGGTGGAGGGAAGGAAGGGGGCCCTGCAGATGCAGGAGGACATGAGGAGAGACCACTGGATCGGGCGTGCGATTCTCTGTTTCTGGCGGGGGGAGGATTCTGTTTTGTCAGTTAGGCATTTTTGACGAATGCCGTCTTGATGCGTGGGAGGGGCGTGGTTGAAGATTTTCGGGGCCTGTTGGTTCGGAGGGGCGCGACAGGCGCGACACTGGAGGGGGGAGGATGGAGGGGAGGGGGGGAGAAAACGTTGACAAGGCGGATTTTTGACGTAGATCACGGAGGGGTTCACATTTTGGAGATGGGGACCCTGGGAAATGTCCGACTTACACCGACGGCGATTGCGACGATGGGACGTGGTCGTCGTTGGGTTGTTCTTGCCTCGGGCACATTTGCACGGCACTGACTTGCAGACGAACATCGGCCACAACACACGCCTCCCCCCTTGACAAGCTGAAGGAGACCAGACGGGTTGATGATGCTGGCCCTGCAGCGGACGGGCAAGGCCTACCGCGTATTGGGGAGGCCGTTGGGTCGTGGCCGCTGTCAATGGTCCGGTTTCTTCCTTTGGGGAGACTCTGCGGCTTGTCAGTGGCAGCGAGGTCCTGCCGGCTGCCGATCGGGCGCCCCAAGGTGAGGCTTTCGCGAGACGGGGGACGGGTCTTGTGACCGCCGCCGAGAGGGAGCCCGGAAGAGAGCGGAGCTGGAGCTGGAGCTGATGTCAAGCCGGGGGCCAAATGCCACATACCAGGAGGCGAGTGGCTGGAATGGAGGCGTACGTCACATGTGGCTTGGACGCATGAGGTGGCGGCGGCCTATTGGACGTTGGCTCCGGCAAGGGCATCTTCGCTTCGAAAACCTGATGAATAACCTTGTTTCCCTGGCCAAGTTGCCTCAATTAATACCGACTTATTCCTGGCGTCGTTGTCTATGCAGAAGAACGGTGGGAATAGTGGCCAACTAACAGTAGGTTCCCAAAAGAAGACAAGCCGGAAAAAAGCAAAAGACAATAGCAGAGGGACGGACGCTAAAAAGGGAACGACAACAGGGAGCGTGGGGCACTTGCACTGCACAATGGAGTCGCCCCAGGGCATCAGATGCAGGGGCCGCCGTGTGGTCGACGCCGTCGGCGAATCACAGGCGCGCGTTTGCGGTGCGCGGCTACACTCTGGCACTGCGCAGCGACCCCTTCGCCTTTTCGTTCGTCGGCGGCTTCTCGCTGCACTGCAGTCTCAACCTCTCACAACTTGGCCTTCACCACAAGAAATTGCTCGAACCGGCCGCCGCTCAAGGGGACCGGGGGCCCACATGCGACGACTCTCCGGCGCTTCGTCGAGAGCCTCTCGTTTTCAACGGCCCGGCGACTACCCAGACCTGCACTGCCTCAAGGCCAGACTCTGAGCCGCCCAATCTTGGGGGTCGTAAGGTAGGAAGCGCTGCAACGCTGGGGACCAGAGATATTGCAAACCAAACCATACGGCTCGTGCAACACCATCGCTCCACCCCATTTACCCCAGCTCCGGACGAGGAATAGCAGCAATGCCCTGCGATCCAGTCGCGCTTGCATAGGAGTTTTGCAGGCAAAACCCTTCCAAGTCACCGCGATGCCGCCCGCTGGCCGCTTGGTTGGCCACCGTCCAGCCGGGTCCCCAAGCAGCATAGGTCGATCGGGTGGCTACCGTCCTATGCATAGGACCCCAAGCTCGATCGTTTCGCAGCCGCGCAGCAGGCGAGGAAGGAAAAAAGTCTGCTAGACTGCTTCTTGCGTATGGGTGCCGTGGGAGTCCTCCTGCCGAGTGGCAGAGCTGAACTGGAGGCTGTAGAGGGCCCCTTGCCGCCTTGCCGCGATATGTGCAGGACGAAAAAAGATTGGGTTTGGACGGCCTCTGTCTAAACGTCGGGTGGAAACAGAATCGTCATCTTCCAGCCCATCCTTCGAACGATTCTTCCTTTCCTCTTCCTACCCGACATCTGATTCCATTCATTTCTTTCTCTGAGGTCATCATTGCCCGTTTCCTTGGGCCGTGTCCTCGCTTCTTTTGTGCGGCCTCTTTGCCTACTCGATGAACAACTAAGTAGTCGTTTCCTTGTTCTCACAAATCACTCCACGAATAGTGACAACTTCATTGTCTACTTGTCTTCGCCCTACCACGAAACGTCTCCGAGCCTCGACCTACTTCTACACCTTTGTGCCT